GAGGAATCTGGCAGACTGAGATAAGGAGACTTTCCCACTAAGAACATAGAATCCGGGAAAAAGAAAAAACCTTGTTTAAATACACAAATGAACTCAAAAGAAATGGGAATACCAATGGGCAGACACCCTAAGGGCCGACAGAGAAGGTCAGAGGTACCCAGGCGAGGACTAAAGCTGGACCTGCCTGCATCCCAGTGCCCACCCAGCCCTGGGAGTAGACACTGCTCCATCATTCCATGAAAACTCCACTCTTGCTTGACTTGTCTAATTTTCCTTTGTTGAAAGCTGAGAATTCACCAGCCCCCAAGTCTCCACCAAAGCCTCCCATCACCCCCTACTTCATTATCCCAAGCCTCCCAGCTTCCGGGACGTGTGTCTCACAGAACCACTCCTCCTCCCTGTTGTTTCTGTCACCACCTTCCACATGCACCTGTTCAAGGTAAGACGCAGCTCTCAGTCACCTGACTGAAGCTGAGATGTTTCCAGTCACAGTTCTCTATGCTTTTCCTAGCAACTTGCTCTATTCCTTTAGTTACACGTGGCCTTTCCACTTGGAGTTTGAGAATACTAGACACTCTTGCAGTACTTTGGGTGGTTCCAGTGGGGTCCCGGAGCAGGTACAACGTGCTCCCAAGCAAGGGCACGAACGCGTATACTTCCTCCCGCCTGGAGCCCTGCCCCGTCCCTCCCACATCCCCACCCGGGCTTGTGCCTCTCCCTGGTTGACCACGTCTGTCTTCGTCTTTTCTCAGTGGCGCATGTCTCCCATCGGCTCTCCTGGAACCGAGATTCTACAAGAAGCTCAGTCCCTCCTCAGGGTTGTCTTCCACCCTGTCATCACCCTCGCCCCCACTCTGGCCCCGGGGTCTCCAGCTTCTACTCCAAAAGCCTGCTCTTCCCTGTCCACCTGGACCCATGCCTTCCACTCTGCTGGTGTCCATCCTAAAAACCCTTCCCATCAGAGCAAGGCTCAGTTTTTTCTCAGCCCTCTTCTCAAAACACAACTTCTCTAAAACAACACCACCACCAACAAAACCAAAAAAAAAAAACCTATAACTTTGCTGAGCTCAGGAAAAATAAAAGATTTCTTAGAAATGGAAGTAGGACCAATGTTGCTCAGCAAGCGTGGGCTGCACACCTTTCTCTGGGAATGGTATGTCAGTCATATAACGCAAGTTAAATTTCATTACACTTCACACTGATGATGAGTTGTCATGGAGGGGGCAGGCTGGCAGCAAACTGGAATATTCCCAGGTAAGTGAGGCATTCTACAAAGGACAGAACTTACTCTTTCTGACCCTGAAGATGATCTCAGGAGAGGAGTTATCGGGACCCATGTGAACAGGAAATATGTATTTTTTTTAACTCTGTCAAAAGCTGGGTATTCCGCTAATAGTCTAACTCAGACCAGAGTCACCAACTCATGTTCCCTGCACACCTGTGACACCCAAGCACTTGGCGAAGCCCTGCATGTGCAGCAAAACTGCACTGGTCCCGAGGGACTCACTGAGGTCAGAGGAAGAGACAGCAGAGCTAAAGGACAACGTAAGTGCTACAACAAAGATGTGCCTCGGGAACTGCAGATGCCGAGAAAGGGTATGTCTAATTAAACAAGGGAGAGAAACAAACTGAATTGGGAGGAGGGAGGTCCCCAAGGAAGGGAGACATCCAAGCAGGGTCTGGAAGCATCAGGAGGATTCTGCCAGAAGGACTGAGGATAGGCGGGCACCAGGGACATGTCTGAGTAAAACCACGGGCCACTTCCATTGGCTCCCGGGACCCTGGTAGGGTAGACTGAGGCTTAGCGTTCAGGATGCATAGAAGGAAAGGGAGAGCGGAGGGGTGGGGCTGGAGGGAGAAGCAGAAGAGGTAGGACTTTAACCCACAGTCAACTTTACACCCTGAAGTAAAGGGTTTTAATGAGAGCGACTGAGAGCCAGGAGGGTCCCCAGTCACGGCTCACAAATACTGATCACTCACTGAGGCTTTTCTATTAATACGAAGACCTTGATTCTACCAAGAATCATTTTTCTCTTCATTGATTTGGTTAAAATGGAATAATTAAGAGCTGATACATTTGTGAAAGAGTTTAATCTAAAGTCCTAGAAGCTCTTTGGTAGAATCAATAGTATTTAATTACTTCATTAAAAATCAGGTGTTTGTAACAATTTGAAGTAATGTTTATACTGACTAGGTTAAAAACAGAGTCCTGATCCTGACTAGTAAATGATGGCTTTAAACCTGCCAGGAAGACAAGAAAATAAGAATGGGAGGATGATTTAAAATTGACCACGAAGCTACAGTAATTGAGAGAGTGATACTGACATAAGGACAGACAAGTAAAAACAGAACTGAGAGTCCAGAAATACACCCTCACGTTCAGTGTCAACTGATTTCAACAAGGCTTCCAAGACAAGTAAATGCGGAAAGGATAGTTTTTCCAACAAGTGGTACTGGGACAACTGGACATCCACATGTACAAGAATGAAGCTGGACCCTCGCCTCACCTCATACACAAAATTAATTCAAAATGGATCAAGAACCTAAATGAAAGGCTTAAACTATGAAAGTCTTAGAAAAATACAGAGACATTTGTAAATCTACGTGGACTTTGATTATGTAATCGTTTCTTAGCTATGACACCAAAAGCACAAGCAGCGAAAAGAAAATAAAAAAACTAGATAAATTGGGCATCAAAATCAAAAACTTCAGCATTTCAAAGGGTACCACCAAGAAAGTGAAAAGACAACTCTTAGGAGAAAAAATTTGTAAATTACATAGCTGAGAGGGGACTTGTTTTGAAAATACGTAATTAACTCCTACAACTCACTAATAAAAAGACAACTCAATTAAGAAACAGATTTTTTAGGATTTGAATAGACACTGCTCCAAAGAAGATACACAAGTGACCAAGAAATGTCTGAACAGATGGAAAACATCATTAGCCATCAGGGAAACGGAAGTCAAAACCACAGTGAGACACCCAGTAGAATCGCCGTAATTGAAATGCCAGGTAATCACAAGTGCTGCCAAGACGTGAAGACGATGCAGCCCTCACACACTTCTGACGGAAATATAAACCGGTACAGCCACTTTGGAAAACAAGCGAGAAATTCCTTAATATGCTAAACACAGAGGGATCAAAGTACCCAGAAACACCATTCTTAGGTATGTACTTAGAAGAAATTAAAATAAATATCCGCTCAGAAACTGATACAAATGTTCACAGCAGCATTATTCATAACAGCCAAGTAGAGGAAACAACTCGAATGTTCATCAACTGATAAACAGATAAACAAAATGTGATACATCCGTAAAACAGAATATTATTTCACAATAAAAAGAAATGAAGTACGAGATGGACGAACTTTAAAAACATTATGTTAAAATCAAAAAGCCAGCTACAAAAAAAACGTAACAATCATAGTGTATGATTCAGCTTATATGAAACGTCTGCAACAGGCAGACTGACAGGAACAACACAAACTGGTGGTTGTCTGGGGCCGGGGGTGGGAAAGCTGTTGGGGCCAAATGGGTACGTGGTTTCTTTACAGAGTGCTGAAGACGTTCTAAAATTGATTCTGCCGATGTCTGCACAGCTTTGTGAATATATAAAACCCACTGAATTGTGTATGTTAAATGAGTGGATCATATGGTTTATGAATTACATCTCAAGAAAGCTATTATCTGAAGGAAAAAGAAAAGTGAAAATAAGATGAAATGTTCTTTGGCGACACGGATGGGAACTGTCAATGTTCCTCGGTCTTCAATCTCTAAAACAAACAGGGAGAAAGGATGCTCTCCTCTGGCGGAAAATGCCTGAGACTTTTAAAATGGGAAAAACGATCGGCTAAGATGCTGGCAAACACTAAAAGGCTCCAAGGAATGCTATTCCTCATCATCTCACTGGATTCAGCCAATGCATTCATGAGATAGTTTTTCTTTCTTTAATTTATTTTTTATTGACGTATAGTCAGTTTGCAACCTTGCATCAATTTCTGGTGTAAAGCAAAATGTTTCAGTCATCCATATACATGTGTGTGTATATATATATATATATATATTCCTTTTCATATTCTTTCTCATGTAGGTTACTACAAGATATTGAATATACTGCTATACAGTAGAAACTTGTTTAGCTATAGTTTTTCAAACATAGGCCTCCTAGTCCTACAGTTATCCTATTTAAATGTCATTGGTGTCTCTTGGCTCATTAGAAAGCCATATACTACTACAGGTCCTCAAAGTCTATTTAGACTAATTTTTACTTTTCTAAAAGTCTAGAGAGAAAAGATTTAATAAGCTAGAAATGGAAAAAGTAAAAAAAAAAAAAGAAATAAGAAAAAGGCCTTCTCACAAGAGGAATATCTATAAGGTATACACTTTTGTTATTAAACAGTATTTTACTAAAATAAGGATAAACTTACATAATGCAACAATCTTATAGTCTTCCATAAGTTCATCTTACCTTGAAAGGAAATCCAGAAGCTGTTTTATTTTCAACCATATCTTACAAAGAAAGATTTGCTAACTGTTTCAAAAATGCTTTCTATTTAAGAGAAACCTGTACAAGTCGTTCTTGTAAATAATGGGAATTTCTTTTCCCCCAAGGGAATAATTCCTACTTCAGTGTTTCTAAGAATATACAGGGTTAAACCCGTGTAAAATAGATTTTCTCACAGCTGGGGGAGAGCAGGACTCCGCAAATAGGAAACCAGAGAGCTGAGAGGTCAAAGCACTACACTTCCAGGTCAGACTTCTGGTTGCAATTAAGTAAAATTCCTGCAAATATTTGTAAGGAAATCATATTTTTGGTGTCTCCTTTCAGGCCTTGTAACTTTTTTATTTTCTTTAGCAGCAGCTTATAGTTATGGATATAGACATAATCTTTATTATTCACTCAAGACAAACAGAAACACAGTACGCATTTGTGTGCGCACAGGCACCAATCTAGGACCCCGGAAGGCCGATTTGATCTCGGCCTCAAAGGTAAAAAAGACATCTTTTCTAGGTATTCATTCTTTTATGTTGGAGACTGTGTGGAGCTAGTTTTTGTTTTGCTTAATGCAGACTTGGATAATTTCCTCAAGACATTCCACATAATAGGTTAAGCCAAGTTTCCTATTAGCTAAATAGTTCACGATCAAATAGTTGAGATACATCTGAAGTTGATCGGAGTTTAGGCTCTAAGTAATAACAAACATAAACAAGCTGCACAATTAAGTGTAGCTAAGCAGATATTAAATACGCCTCAACGCGACTCCTGGGAACAGCCCGGGGCTGCGAATGCATCACAAATGCCCACCTTGCTCAGAAACCTGCGGTGGATTCATTTGGAGACAATGTCAATGTTTCTTGTCCCAAAGGGAGCAGGTCGTCTCTGCCCTGTTTACAGAAGTTATTACAGTGAATATAAAATTATTTTTGTTGTAAACAACTGCAGTGGTAAGCTTCATAGTAACTACAAAATCCGTAATTTTAGATTCTCCACTTTTATTCTACATAGAAGGGTGTCACGTGAGGGAATTTGAAAATGAAAGCGCTCCAGGTTTTAATCATCACTTGGGTTACTGTCCCCTAAATTCCCAAGATATTTAATTAGTAACACTCAGTCCCAAAGCATCAGACCACAGCATGTTACCCTACACTAGACAGAGCCTCTTCACTCGTCCTCCATACCCTTCAAAATCAAAGAATTCTTACAGATGCTCAATCAGTTAGATAACTACTATCTATTTTCTCTCTTGAGCTTCCCAATGGCTATTAATATTAGTGATGTGACACTCAATTACACAAATTTTAAAATCTTGGCATTGCGATCAGAGGGCCTGGCCAAAGGAAAAGAATTTAAAGGGAACAGACACGCTGGTGAATGCCATAAGCACTTCCCAGACACAGGAAGGCTATTGCTACAGTGTAATGGACATAGAACTCCCAAGACATGTCCAGTACGTGCCAAGGTAAATAGTTTCCACTATACCATGTCATCCCACACGTTAAAAAATTATATGCAACTCCTGTGAGAAACGGCCATGGCTTTCTGGGTAGTGGGGGAGGTCGGGGAGGAGAGCTTTCCTCATTAGTTAATCTGTCAAACACAGGAGAGGGTGCCACTCTTTAAGACTTTGGGATTTGCCGAAGTACAGCCTTGTAGAGGGTCTCACCATCTCCTGGTGCCCCCACCCCTCACTCCAACACACATACACACACACGCACAACACACACACACACATTATGTGGCAGCTAAACCATTTTAACACTGTAAGGTTGGTG